TTTCGTTTTAGATAATGCAAATGTATCCAAACCCTGAAAGTATTGTTGGTCATTTCAAAGAACTTTGTGCATTTGCTGGACACATATCGCGGCAGATTGTACTTGAGATTCGTGCACGAGCTGCGAACGAGAATACTGAATTGGCAGCTCAGTCAATAGCTGCATATTTTCTTTCAGAGAAGCCAGAGACTCGTGGTTGGATCCTTCTCAATTCAGCGCGTTATGTTGCTTTCACGTACGATTTCTTTTTTTCAATATCTTCTGAGTTTTCTTGGTGAACAGGTGTGGAAGGAAAATTCAGTTATATCAACAGTTATTAGAGATTTTTAACTCAAGATTTATATGAGTTTTTTAAGTTGGATGTGGGCTTTTTTTCATTTTTTACTAACATTGTTTAAAAGTTATTGTAAGTAGTGATTGTGAGTTCAAGCCACTTTAGACTTACTTATGTTAAATTTTTTCAGGTCAAGTTTACCTGTTATTGAATCTATGTGTAAAGTATCCTTGCCCTCAACTCTTGTAAAAACTTTATATATATTTTTTGACCTTTCTCATTCATCTGATGAAAACAGTGAAATGCTAAAGGACAAATTACACCCTTTATTTTTCAGCGTAAGATAATTTTTGTTTACAATTCTTAGCAGTTTTTATGGCATTAATTTTATATTTATTTCTTTCCCTCTTTTTCTCAGGGGGCGTATTATCTATCTTTTTTATTCTTGAGAACGGTGTTAGAGGAGCATTTGATTGTAATATAATGAGAAGAATCTTACTGGCAACTACCGTTTATAGCTTTTGGAACATTTATGCGGGTTCAAATGTGTTGGTGAAGAATTGACTTCTAGAGATGATCTTTTTTTGTTATTTGCGGGTTCTTCTTGCGCTTGTTCTCCTTCTAATGCCATATGGAGGAAGTCAGCTGAGCAACTCTTAGTTACGCTTGTTTCTAAAGCTATTTCACCTTCACTTGTCAAATATATCAGCGGTAAGTTTATTTTCTTCCTTCTCTTTCCTACTTTTGTCTTTATCAGTACTCTTTTACTGCAAACATATTTGAACACGGACTACATTTATTACTTCTTTTTTTATTCAAAACGACTTATGGGGATGGGTTTCCTGTAGGGCTAGTATGCTTAATGGTGAGCGCCCTGCCGTGATGCTTTGCTGTTAGATCTTAGATAACCTAGGGTTGTCTACTCAGTTGCTGAATGTTTTTAGAGTTAGCCGTCATTAAATCACTGAACAATTCACATTCTACTGATCATTAATAATTTAACAGTGATTGGTTTTCTTAGGGCTAACAGTAAGAAATTCATTTATGTATGGAAGGCACATTTTTTTTGGCAACTTTTTACGGCTATTGGTGACAGTATAGCATGGAGAAAGTGATCTTCTAAGTGAGCAGAATAATTTGCAAAAAAAAAAGGTCAGCATGGAGTGTAAGCTCAAAAGATGATTGATTTTTTAAGATTTGGTACCAAAACAGTCAAAATTTTTATAGAGAATTACGTATTATTTTCTTTTCGGACTACTGCAGAAATTGACGTTACACTTAAGTAACGCTTTATACTTATATCCCAATTTTCTTGCCTGGCACAAAGACATAAATGATATTAGAACGGGAGCAGTAATTAAGGATCGCGTTTCATTAAGAATTCTTTTTCTGGTAGTGAATTTATGTTTATACACTTTTTTCACTACGATTGCCTTTACTATCTTTTTATACATTTTTTTCATTGCAGGAAGTGGGTAGCCAGCTACATTCAAGATGAAAAAATGTGGTTATATACAAAATATTGGGGCGGGAGGGGGGAAATTATTGGTTTGAATAGTTCCTTAACTTATCTTATATGAGTGCTTTTTTATATCTTTAATAGCTTGCTGGAGTTGTTTTTCTAAGAGAAAGGATTGCTGATAAGCTCAGTTGCCTGATAAAATGTTTGTACCATTAGCACTTTAATTTTGCTTGTTATTTTGAGAGGGATTGTGTAAATTAGCTTACCAGGAGTCTTCTTGCTTTGCAGTGACCCAGTGGTTGGCCTCATCTCGCCCTTAACCTTGTTTAAATATCTTAGCAATTCCTAATAAATCTTTTGAAGTTTTAGTTATGAAAAATTATTTGATTTTGGTAGCATCTATGGACAGTTTTTTTTGGCTTTTCTGCATCATTCATTGAAGTTCTATCAAGCTTAACATATACTTTTCATCTCATGAGACTAATCTTCTGTAATGCCGAATACCAGCGTAGAAAATCAAAGAAATTATTTGCATTTTCTAGTTATCTTTCCTTCTTTTTACTTGGGCTTTAAGGGTGACATAAGAAGCATGGTATTTAAAAAAAAAAAAAGAAAACAAAACTTTAGTATTCTAGCAGCAGTTGGACGGTAAGGGATATCTAAAGCTGGAGTTTACAATAAAACCAGCTTAAGACTACCTCTTTAAACCGAAACTTCTTTAGGCACCACATATTTTTTGTTGTTTTTTTCATTTCTTGAAACTTTATTGTAAAAGATGCTCTTTTGAGCCATTTGTTTCATGTTGAATGCTTGAAATTTACGTCCGTTTCTGTTTTCTCAAACTTTAGAAGTTGGGAGCCATTTGGGTGCCATTTTTATGCACTTTTTCGATATACCTCCTTGTAAAATTTGAAGCTTAATAAATTGTCGTTAGTATTATCTTAGCACTTAAAGTCGCGTTGCAGTTCGCAGAAAGTTGTACGTTTTCAAGTCAAGAATTAATTTTAGTTGTTCTGATCTAGATTTCTTTTAATCATGATCCATTATCGCATCAGTATGTGCAGATTAGTCTCAATGAAAGTTATATGAAGAATTTTGAGCTCACTACTTTTAAAATGCTTGAGAGGACCTTATGCTTTTGTTTTAAATAATGCTACGCTAGTCTTCTTGAGCTGCGTAATAGTGATAGCGCAGTGAAGTTTTATGGGCTAATTTGGTTATAAACCTGTTTTTGAAATAATTTTTTTTTGTTACAGCTCGTGTTTAAAATTTAAATAACACTTCTTTGCTCTTGAAAAATTTTGGCTGTGAATGTATTTTTGAAACTTGTTTGTTCTCATTTATGATTTTTTCGACTATTTTAGATGGAGTGAATGGGAAAGATAAGCTATCAAATTGGATGTGTTCCTAGATGTCTTGTAAAAATTTTTTTCCGCTAGTGAATTGATTGTACGTCATAAGCAATTTGATTTTCTTCTGCAGGCTTTTTATATTTGGCTCGAGACAACTTTAGTAATATCAACCAGTTTTTTGTGAATTATACCCATTTAATACTTTTTCTTCATTTTATTGAGTTACAACAGTACTTGATTATTACCACTGTTATGCGTAACCATTTGGCATAGTTTTTTACAATATTTGAAATTATGTACCTTGAAAACCTAAATTTTAATTTTTCCAAGATGTTGCTTATTATTCAAAAATGACAGGACTGTTGCTCAGTTTCTGATTATTGTCATTCCATTGAGTTCCCTTCTGCCTAATGGTTGATGTATATCAGTGAACTTTCGCTTGTCACGGTTTTACTTCGCAAATTTAATTACCAAGCGCATTTCCTGATTATGTAGTACCTAAGCATTTTTAAGAAACATGATGTCGCAGTGTAATCTAAGTTTTGTCTCCAGATATTTAGAGTTAGAGCTTGCACGAGGAGGAACCTCAAGTTTTTGTCATAGTGCGATGTCATTTGAACTTGTACCTTTGAAGTCTCAGAAAATAATGCGCGTAAACTTTCACAGTCAGTTGTTGCAAAAGTTGGTTCTCAAAAATTATAGCAAATAGCAAAATTAAATGTTGAGGAAGTATTTACTAGATCATTTTTTGACACAAGGCAATCATATTTTTATTGTCTTGTCCACGGCCGTTGCCGCAGTCAAACAGACAGTCGGTAGCCGTGAAGGTTGGCGTGGTTCAAATATGCTTAACTAGGCGTTTTTGTAAAAGAGTAAAACGAATTTTACTATTTTTTAGCTGGATAACAATTACATCATTCAGTAATAGGGCTTTAAATTTACTTGAAATAGCGTTTTCTCTGAACGCTCTCCTCTAATCTCTAAATTTTATCTTTTTGATTGTTTCTATGTTCTGCAAACAGTTTTTTGGCTACGCTAGGCCTAGTTTCTAAAAGTTTTTTTGATTTTTCAACTTGTTTTATTCGTATTATGTCAAACAGTCAGTGATATGTTATTCGTTAGAAATTTTACAACTTTACTTGCCAAAACCCAAGCACTCAGATAATCTAGGTGATACCAAAAAAAGATTAGGGGAAGGCGAAAAAAGCCCGTGGCTTTAAAGCGTTTTAGGTTGGACTAATGGGAGGAGTAGATATCGAGTTGTTTAAGTTTCATTTTCAACTAGTATGACGAAAAAAAAAATATATTTCTAGTACTCTAGTCTCTTTTAAGTTATTTGTGGAACAAGTCGGCTTATTTACCTTATTATAGTACAGTGGAGTTCCATAAGCTGTTACACCTGTATATCGTTACTTTGATCACATTTATTCTTCTAGGTTATTCTAGCTTTTGAGCATTACTTGAAAGAATTGTAACTTTTAATCTTAAAAAAATTTCTTTCACATTTTTAGCAAATTTTCAAGTGTTTTTTTTTTACCCAAACGTATTGTCACTTTCTTGCTCTTTGAATCTTGACTTTGGTCGCATATTTTTTTTATATTTTAATGCATAAAATTCCTTATAATTTTAGCAAAAAAGTGTATTCCGCTGTTTTTAAATAATGTTTTCAAAGAGGAGGCTCTTACCTCAGAAGAACGTGTTGAAATGATTATATGTTTATTGTGTGTTCTGAAGGATTCAGCAAATATTACCGAGCAGATCTTGTGCGATTTTAACCAAGCAAATGGCTACGCGTTATTGCGCAACTTTATTCTTTCGTTAGTCTCGATTTTTTCTTTGAAACCTGACTTTCTTGTAGGTGCAGAAGTTGAATATGCCAACCTTATAAATTTTTTTAGTAACCAAGCTAACGAAGATGGGATGCGAAATATCCTTGTCATGCTAATGAGTGTTATAACAAGCGGATTTGTTGAAATCGAACCGCGAGTGCCTCCAGGGCTTATTGTTTTACCAACATTTGTCTTGCCAGCTGCCTCTGGAAGCGGTCTTAGTGTTCGTAATGTTGAAGCATTCCGAGTTCTTTCTGAAGTCATAGTTCAAGTAAATTTTTTACATTACTTTTTCTATTGTTTATTGAGTAAATATGTTTGAGAAATGGAGTTTATTTGTATGCAGCTGTGGTCTGTTTGGTGCCTTTATGAAATGTTTTCAAAAAATATAGTTCCTCTTTGTGTCTCTTCAGTTTACTAATGTAAATGTTGCTTTATTGCTTAATTCTTTTATTTCTTCCAGAGTACAAATGAAAAAGTGTGCGAAACGGCGGTAGATATGGTGCACAATATTTATGCTTCCGATCTCGCTAACTATTTTATAGTTGAAAAGGAGTGTGCTCTTTCACAGATTATTGAATCAATGGGGAAAAGGTCCAGCAGAGTTCAGGTTGTCAATTTGGAACTTAACAAAATTTGATTTCAGAATTAATGGATTTTCTTAGAAAAGGAATACACAAAACGCTATGAGCAGCTATTTTTCGTTTAAGAGAAACGCTTTCAGAAAAAAATATTGGAATTAGTCGATTACGTAGTTTTTCATCTCAATTACGTGCCCTGCAAGGAACTCATTGCTCTTAGTGTTTTTCTGAAGACTCAGGCATCTGCGAATGAATACCAGTCCTGCATCATTGTTTTGCAATCACTGTTTAGGTAGTTGTTATTAACAAAAATAATATTTTTTGCCATTTCATTCCGTCTTCAATTCATTTAGGTTATTCAGGATTTTGTCAGCTAATTCTTTATTAAAAGATGCCTTTCGCGAAGTAGGATTAATGGAGACGTTTGCATGGATCATTGGCCGATTTGCTGCTTTTTTTCGAGGTGGAGTTGGGGTTAATTTTTTTGCTTTGAGGTTCTGTTTCTTTCTTTTAAGGTGCGGTTTTAGAAAGAGGCTTGACGGAAACAGAAAAAAAGGTTGCATTACTCAGTACGGATTTAACAACCCTGCTTGTTAATGGCAACAATGCTAATGCGAGTAAGTTCTTTTGAGCGATTTTTGTAGGATGAAAATGCATTTGAAATTTTTTCCAACTCAAATTCTTCAGATTAAAGAATTATTAAAAAAGTTTCTGTTTGTTTATTATATGGTATTTTTTCCAAATATTGTTTTCCAGAAATTTTCCGTGAAAGTGTTGGGCCGAAGCTTCTGTTGGATATTATTTCATGCGAAACAGACGATTGGAGAATGTCTGTTTTTCTGGTAGGATATCTGCTCCATTTACTAATAAGTATTATAAGAATTTTATCTTTTTTCAAGAGAAACTTCAGTGTAACTGAACTTTTGCTGCGTTCTTACTACGATATTAAGAGAAAAGCTACTTAAGATTTATATCCATTATGTATTACAGCTTGTAAAACAGCTTCTCATGCAAGCTCACAGTGAGGAACTTTTAGCAGATATACTGCTAGTCTTACATTCGCCTCCTTTGGAGCTTTCCCTTCAAGATTTTCTCTTAAAGGTTATCATTGAAATCTAATCAAAATAGTTTGTTTGTGCTATTAACTTTTTAAAATAGTATTTTGGTTTTCTACGGAAGGAACTTTTAGCTTCTTTTATGCGCGTTACGTGAAAGTCATAAAGTAAGGGTTATGTTCCGGAAAGTCGGCGGTTATTTGTGCCTGATGTCGCTTCTTCTGAGCCTTGGTGAACACTTGAGGAATAGCATGGTGAATTCAGATGGGACTGAAGTGGTTTCCAATGAAGAATTGTCCACCTGTGCCAGTTCAGAAACAATTGAGTCCTTAAGCGAAAAGAAATTGGGATTAATTGAATCTTTTCAAATGATATTTAAGGTATTAGCGATCAGCATGCGATATGAACCTTCAAATGCGAAGTACTTTGCTCAAGAAGTAGGTTATGATTTTGTTTTTTTAAAGCCTTAGATTTTATATCAATTTTTTTCTGATTCTTAGAAATTAATATAAAATTTGTTTACCCCAGTAAACTTTACCTTCCACTGCTTATCCCTTCTAGATCAATTGGAATAGTGTAAGTATGGCATTAAAAGTATGCGGGGCTTTTAAAGAAAAAGTCCGATCTATTGATGTTGTTGGTTCTGTGTGGTTGAATGAACCTTCATCTTTAAAATTACAATTTGCTAGTTGTTATGCTGTCTTCCAAAAGGTTGCCTATAATCTTTCTGACTTCAGGTGAGGGTTTGGAAGCTTTTTTGTAAGAATCATATTTTTAAATTCTTGAATTTTTAACTTTTTTTGAGCTTTTCTGAACATTTTCTATTGTCAGCTGAATTACTTAGGTCTTCTCTTGATCCTCAAATGCCAATATCTATTTTTTACGCGTGTTGTTTTCTGCGGATGCTATACGACGTTGCAGTTGATAACTATGAAAAGTTTGTTTTTCAGAATTTATATTACTTATTTTCGAAATCTTTTGCTAAAACCGTTGAATATTGCAAAATACAGCATGACTTCACTTTTGTAGGGCTGATGGTGAAGTGGTTTGGTGCCGTGATGACCTCTTTTTCTCTCTTGATGATTCCTCAGAAGCAACTAAGATTGGTGGTGTAATTGTGCATCCTGGTGCTCTTCTTGCCTTACTTGACCTTTTACCAGCAATAAGTACTTCAAGAGAAGAAGTAATTTTTTATTTAATTGAATAGTGATGGCTTATGCTTCATATAGAAGCATTCTTATATTGTTTTTCAAATTTTTGTTATTGTAGTGGAATGCTGGTGCGCAAACTTTCTGTGCAGTTCTGTTAAAGAATCTTCTTCGGTTAGAAAGAAATCAACAAGTAATGTGTCAAACTTCCATGTCGCAGTCGCTGCTAGAGATCGGAAAAGACGTGTATAAATGTGAAAAGCACTTACTGCTAAGCAGTTTTAATTATATCTTTGAACGTCTATCAACTCATTTAATTACTCCAAGAAATCTCAGGTTTACACTTATCTTTCACCTCTTCATTTGAGAGGAATAATTATTTTCCAGTTGCATCTTAATTTCAGACATTTTTTGCGACTAGGAATGCCCTTATGTTGCCGTGATTTGGAACCAAAAGATGAAGAGCAGTCAATAGGTGATGAAGATGGCGGTCCTGTTCCAATCGCAAGGTATCGAAAATTTGTATTTTGGTAACTATTTTCAAGCTATTTGCTTCCGCTAGGTCGTTGTAAGAGGATCTCATGAAGTTGTACTATAATTCTAATTATTTCTTCTGTACTTATTTAAATGACTCTTTAGAGTGAAAGCATTGGTGTCTATAATGACTCCACGAGACCAAAGATCTACCAGAGAGCCTTCCTTCGTGGAATTTGATATGTCAATGGAAGGGTTTGCCTGCTTGCTTATTCCATCACTTGCACCTATCGGTAGTGAACATGGAGGCATAGGTCATGGCGAGCGGCTATTCCCACCCCTGAATGGAATAAGTCTTAGCACGTAACCTTTTTTCAGTTTAAAGTGGTTCCACTTTTTTGAGAAACTATTGTAGGGCACTCTTTCGCTCATTTTTTCAAAGTTTGGAACCTTATTTTCATTTCAGCTGGCTGTTTGTTGAAGAATTTAGTAATAAAAGACTTGATCCTCATCCTATCCGTCTTATCACTGTGTTCAGAGTACCTGCAAATGCAAAAAGGAGCAGCTGTAACGGCGAGGGAGCTCTTTCATGTCTCTCTATTCAGGTACCTTATGGACTTCTTTATGGTCTTATATTTAGGTTTTTTAAGGTAAAAATGCATTGTTGTAAGTTCTTTTTCTTTGAAGCTCAGTTCAATCGACCGATCTCTTTTAATCTGTACAAAAGAAATTCCTTCTATTGGGCCCGATTTGGAGAAAGAAAAAGGAATAGGCGAAGAGGAGTTGGTCAGGGTCGCTCTTGCTGATGTCCTTGTTACAAGACAGTGGTTTCATATCGCGGTGGTCCTTACTCGATCGGTGATTAAACACAGTCAGGTTGAATTCATAGACATTGCTGTCTACTCGGTGTAGAAATAGAGGAGGAATGTCATCTTTTTCAGGTTGCTGTATACATTAATGGAAGGTTACAGTGTACTCAAAAGATACATTACATTGTGCAAAATGTTGGTGGGCCTACGGCTCATCTTGTTCAGTCAAGTGAAACGCATGGAGTTATAGGAACCCCCCCAGTATCTCGTTTTTTAAGCAGGTTTTGTCATTCTTTATCATTAACACCTTTGAATGTACTTTTTTTTAAATTACATTTAAATGCATATTCTATAAATTAAAGCTTTCTTCTATTGAATAAGATTAAAAAAGTGCTGTTTTTGAAGTTATTACTCTGCTCTGAAAATATTGAGATACTTTGCGAAAAATATTTTTACTTTGTTTTCTATTTAGGGTACGATTCAAAATTGGCATGCTTACTCTTATTGAGGAACCACTTTCTCCCGAAGCTGTATATAAAATATTTCAGCTTCAACCTCATTACATTGGGAATTTCCAGGTCGTTTATCGCTTTTTATCTTTTTAAATACCGCATTTTCTGTGAAGTTTTTATCAGTGGTCTCGGTAAATTTTTTAATTTTGATTGATTGCTTAGGGAGGAAGTTCTAGCAATTCATCTTACTCTTCAGAATTCATGCGCTGATGGTTTTTCAATAGTTAGTGAAGATCGCATTTGCCTTTCTCTATCAGCTGCGTCATCTGCGGAGTTAACTATATCGCAAGTAGGGTCTATGTACAGCAAAGCGGATAGTGCTTTTATTGCTCCATATGTGAGGTTTTTTGCGAAATTATGACTTGATATCCAGAAATTCCCCTTCTTCAAAGCACAAAATTTATTTAAAGAATTCCTTCTGAAGTAGCAAATTTTTTTTTTTGAAGCGATCTAAAGTTTCAGCTGAATGTATCTCCGAGAGATCATAGCACGCCACTTCGTGTTCTTTTAAATATTTCTTCTCATGGGCTTGGCTCTGCTCGTTCGTTAGGTGCCGTGGTTATAGGATATCTTGGTAAATCTTCACTTCGTTTCTTAAATTGATGAGATGCTAAAGTGTGAACCTAAACTTAGGTATGAGGACGTTTGTTCCCAGTACAGTGACTCATATACTGGATTCAGTTGGAGGAACATCAACTTTATTTGGGTTTATTGCTATGTCAACCAACGCACAGGAATTGTACGCTTCTTTGAAAGCTCTTATAGCTGCAGTTAAAACGAACAGAGTGATTGCAAGCCAGTTGGAAGTTTCTCGTTCTTACCAGGTTCATTTTTGCTAATCTCGAATAATTTTTATGAAACACATAATTGTTGTTGCTGTCCTTCTCTGTATCCGAAGATTGATGCAGACATTGGCGTTTTTGGCTATGTGAGGAAATGTTATTGTTATATGCTTTATTAAATTCTTTACGCCTGTTTTAAAATGCAGCTTTTATTTTAGATAGCACATTTGTACTAGTTAAAAATTATTCCCGAAGATTGATTAAATATTGCTTTTGGAGAAACTGCTTAGTTCTATGCTTATAAGGGTGCAATAGCTGTGTAGCCAAATTTTCTTCTTTATTTTCACACGTGTTTACCTTAAACGAGGTAATGTCAGACGTTAAGTCAGCGAGTTCCTTCTGGCGCATTTAAGACAAATTAGGCATATAGGAATTTAATTTTCTGAAGATTTTGCGATTTTAAGTTCGCATTATGATTTTAATAATTTTGAATATGCAGACTTTGGCAATGCTTCTGGAAGAGAAAAGCGAGATGTTGAATTCGCATATTCTGCATTTGGTTCTTTCACTAGTGGGTACTTTGGATACTCGACGTGATACTTCGTTAATTCCCAACATTCAAGTTTTTGAGGATCTTCTTTGTGACTTAGATGTGTGGAAGAATGCAAATTACGATCTTAATAGGCTGCTTTACGAACACTTTTACGAACTAATTACTGAGTTAGTTCTTTCTTCTGCTTTACCTTCTGTAATCCACCTGTACATGGTCGTTTTTTCCTCTAGATCTTTTCACTTTTTAGTTTTTTGAGGGGATTTTTCTAGTTCTTCGCGAAAAGTGGAATATTTTTTTAAAGTAAAGAAATTTTAAAACGATTTCACAACGCATTGGCGTGTCGAAATCAATGATTTCTGTTTTCATTCTAATTAATTTTGGAGACTTCAGCGTTCCAAAAGTGGTTTTGAGAGGTAATAAGTTTTTCAAGAACAAAATTTAGAATCGATGTTATGAAGGTAACAGACTTCTTTTTAGTCAAGGTGGCGAAAACTTAAATCTTGTTCGCCACAGCCCATTACCTGCTCGACTCATAGCACGTTTGTTTGATACTCCTTCCCTAATTTTCTATATTAATGATATAGTATTTAATCTTATCGCTGCTATTATTCAACCTCCTGCTGATAGTAATTCACTGCTAAAGTTAGTTCTATGTTTTATTCTTAAAAATGTTTCTTACTAATGTGGTAGTTTTGGACATCTAACTTGAGAGTAAATTTCATGTCTTGATTTATTCGGCTGCTTTATTTTTCAGATTGGGACAAATGTTAGCTGCGACATTACCGGACACTGATCGCAATGAAAACCATTTTCCAATTTCTATTCGTGAAATACAAGAAAAGTTATCAGAGTATAGTTCTAAAGAGGAAGTTGATAGAGAGTTATATTTGTTGTACATCCGAAATCGTATTCTCAACATAGTCATGAGCGCTTTGATGAATTCAAGTCCATCAAATAATGCTCAGTAACTGCTAGTTTCTTAATTGTTTCACACTTGTGCTTTGTTACACCATTAGTTTCCCATGCTTACTTCCAGTTTCACTTTCATTGTCTACATTTTCAAATTACATGCGATACCTTCAAAACTGCACTCCACTATCTGTTTATTTTCCAGGTTTTGCGAACACATTGTACGAGTTTTGGGTTTTGATTGGCTGCTTGCTTTCTTTTTGCCTGGCGTTCATTACGGAACAATTATCCTTGCCCTTCGTATCCTACTGTATTTGCTCCAACATGAGCACTTATTATGCAAGTTCAGAGAAGGGGCAGCCAATGGAGGCTGGTTGGCTGATGGTGATTCTGTTGTCAGAAACCGCTCAGCTGTGAGTTTGAACACTCTAGGTTCTATTGAAATAGATGCTTGGTTCTACTCTTTACCTTTTTTTTTTTATTACAAATTTTTGGGATAGGTGGTTCTTGGATTTTCTGTTGCAACTCATGGCGGTACTGTTGGGGCTCATATCGATATAAATCCAGAGTTGTCAGAGTGCAGTGGATTTCTCGCATTAGGACATTTGTTATCCCTGCACTATCAGAAGCCTGAGTGTTATTTAGCAATGGTCGCTGTTCTCTTTGGGCAGCCTGTCGCCAACATGCTGTTTCCAGATGATTTCTCCTTAGAAATTGTTTGGGCAAAAGTTTTTGGTTTGTCGCCGTCAAGGTTTCGGTTAATCTATTTTACAATCGGTTAAAGCCTCGTACGCTGAATAATTGTGATAGACTTCAAAAGGCACTTAGAATTTCATTATGCTTTGTCTTCTGTATTTCCTTCTTTCAGCTCTGTCTCAGAGGCCATCTCCAATGTTCAGTTTTGTCTGGATGCCTTAATACCCTTACTGTCAATGGTCAAGGCAGCTATACATTGTGACTTGGTAACTTTGTTAATAGTTTCATGGAATTTTGAATTTTGTTTGTAAGCACAATAATCATTTCAGAGTGAAGAGTCGCCGAGCTTGAATTATGCATCAGCAGTGATACAGATGTTATCGTTCTTGTACCAAAATTCAAAAGATGTTTTTGCTGTTTTTCATTCAGATGAATTCGCTTCTGTGCTCTTTTCGGTCCTCTTGCCACCTGAAACTAATACCTCATCGCAGACTGCTGATAGTGATAGATTAATTACATCTGGTTCATTTTTACTTGTATTATACATAGGAACCTAGTGAATGATGCTGTTTTTTGAGTCAAGGTTTTTAAAAATGTTGCTTTGGAGAAATGGTTAATTTAATTTTGTTATTTTTTGACGCGTAGCGTACTAGTTCTAATATTGTAACATGTGAAGCGTCGTTAGAAATAGTGGTCCAGCTACACTGGACGTTATTTCCACTATTTAGTCAATCCGCAGCAAATTAAAAGCAGTACAGAGTCTTTACTAACAGTCGTTGTTAGATACTTTTCATCATTGTTCCTGCAAAATTTATGCTTTTATTCAAATTTTTTTTAGAAAATTTGTGTTTTCGAAGTATCCTTGATCTGTTTAAACGCGCCTTATGTGATGGAATTTCATTCAATCACTATGGTAAACCAGATTCTTTTCTGGATGCCCTAATAGAGGTTAGTTAATTGGTTTGTCTTTCTTTAATTTTTTTAAAGTCAATTTTTAAACTCATTTTTCACTGCCATTTGCTGTTAGTCAAAATTCCCCTCTTGGGTTTTACTCATTTTGTTTTCAACTTATGGAAGTTTTTCAGGGTGTTCCAGAATGTGGAGTTGGTCGTCGGATTTCTTCTTCGATTTTGACTGAGATTTTGGTGCTATGTATGGACCACATGATCGCAACAGGTTTTTCATTCTTTTATCATTTATTCGATTGTGCTTTTCGTCAGGTTAACTACTTTGAAATCGCTGGAGCGATAGTATGAAGTTTTTTTGACTTGCTACAGATGTTTTTACTGGTATATCGCGAACAGTAGGTGCTAATAAATCTGAGGCAGTTCTACAATCAACCACGTCAATAGCGGCAAATTTTTCATATTTTGCCTCGCGAATAGTCGATTGTTTATGGAGCGGTAAGTCAAAAATTTTAATAGAGCTTTTTATTGTTTGATTTTTGCTTATTGCTCATTATCGGTACATTTATAACTGTAGTCTTCTGTTTGTATCCAATAATTTTTATATTTTTAAGAGTTAAACGGAAAAAACTAACTTAGCACTAATGAAGTTTAGAAGTAATTGATCAAAATACAACGAAGGGAAACGAGAAAATCGCAGAATAGAAACCAGTATATAATTTAATAAATTATATGTGGAGTATTTGGTTCTTTTACATCCTGTACGTGAGTGCGAACCTTAAGGTCTTTTTGTGGTTTAGAAGACTTGGAAGTTTTCATCTTTATGCAATATGTTTGGACTGAGATTTGCTTTTTTTTAGCTGAAGCTTAAGGAGTTTAAGATTGTAGGCGGCAGACCGCTTTAAATATCTGAGGAGCTAGTGACTGAGTCGTTTTTATTTGCAATGAGATTGAAAGTGCTTGTAGGGTGCAGTAATGGTATCCCATCACCAAGTTGATTTATTTTTCGACTGATGTATTTTTTCAGCGTTAAAATTGTATAATATGTTTGAATTTGGAGTGAGCTTTGAAATTGGGAACTTCTGTTAAATGAGGCTGTTAAACTGCTAAATACTTCTGGAAAGTCATACCTTAGTGGTTGAGTACTGTTGAAAAAATTTTACAGGTGTTTATGTTGGTGAGCCTACCCGTGTATTAGACTTTCTATTCAGAGGGCTTGCTCTTGTAAAGCGGTACGAAATTCGTGGGTCGTCTGATGCGTTGATGTTTTCTTTGGACAGGGCAATTTTATACTTACTTAGTAGACCGATTGATTCGGTTCAGGGTAATTATCTTTCTTTCTACTAAAGGCTTTCTTTGATGCAGCTTCAAAATACTTGTTCAAACATGGTACTCTTTAGTCCAAATGTCAATTCTCGATACATTGGGAGAAATTATCACCAACCGGGCTATTGTGCTCTCTCCTATGCATAATGAGACAGTATTTTTTGGTGCTCTCACTCATCTTCTTTTTATGTTATCTGTTACTCCCGATATACTTCCTGAACGGCACGAGCTCTTGGATCATGGCACGGCGCAGGTAATTATAATTATTATTTTTAAAAAGTTTTTTACCGAGTTTTCTATCTCTTAAATTATCTTCTGTAGCATATTTATTGTTTTTAATGTTTTCAAGACCAACTAATTATCGATCACAACTAAAACTCGTTTGTGACTACGGATTGATACTTTGTAACTTAGGTAGCTGTTTGTGCAGCACATGTTTGGCAAGAAGTGTGTTTAACAAAAAAACCACTTCTTGAATCGATTTTCAAACGTGGGTTTGTCTGCGAACTTAATGCCGCTCGTGCTCTCCTTTCTCACGCAGCTAGTTTGCAGTGGCTTTCATTTGTTGATTCGCAGGTTAATAACGCTTCAAATCGAAACATCCAGCATTTCCAGCAACAGTTGCAGTCGGCAAGTCATTTTTTGTAAAACATTCCTTTTCGTTTGCGTATTTCTGCATAACTTATATTCTTCTTCATTTTTCAATTTCTACGATTAATGGTGTCATTATTTCTCTAAATTTGAAGAAAATTACGAAAGTGGCAAGCGGGATTCAGCGCTTGACTAGTCGAAAAGGTCTTGCTTCTTCAAATCTTTTATTTAGCGCTTCTGAATGGAAGAAGTCTAATATAACAGTTGAGGTAATTTTTTTGAATTAGGCGTCAGAGCACTGGCGTCATGAAATTGTTTTAACTAAGTAAATAGCACCTCTTTTTAACCTGGTATATTAATTTTCGCTCAGTGGCGTAAAATGTCAGCTGTTCTTGTCTGTTACTTTTTATCCTGAAGAATCTGAATACTAACTTCTTCAATTATGTTATTGGAAAAATGGGTATATTTCGCGACTGATCTGTTTTTGATCTAATCTAATTCACAATTGCTTGGTGGCATAGTAGCTGACTTTATTTACCGGGTAATCAGTACTACAATTTTTACGTAGAAAAAGTTTTTTTGATGTTTAATTATTAAATACGCAAGGTTTTTCATCTTACAGATAGTACAGATGTGGATTCGGGTTCATACTTCTCTAATTCGCGAGCTTCTAAATGTGCAATGTGCCCGATATCATGAATGGCATGCTCATGCACGTAAATGGTGCCTACAGGAATGGCATCTTGCTGAACTGGAGCTGACAAGGTTGTTTTTTTATTCATAGCTTTGACGTAAAACGTTTTCTTTCTTTCAGAGAACGAGGCCTTTGGGGTCCTCAGCATCCTTCAGTGCTTGACAAATTTGCCCTTGATACTACGGAAAGCCCCTGCCGAGTGCGTCGTAAATTAATCCCGAACCCTTCCTTCTACCACCAGTATCCTTACAGACCATACTTAGACCTACCTGAGGCTGTAAGTTCATTTTCTTTGGTTACAGGTATTTGTTTAAGGAAATTAACACAACATAAAAAAACTATTTCCTCTAAATGACTTGATCTTATTCGTGCTGATACGTAGAAGCCTTTTTTCTAACTGTAACTGACACACAATATTTTTAAGAAATCGATGCGAGCCAAAGTTGCAATATCCAGTGATAGTAAGTTATACTACGAAACGCTTAAAAATCGCAGGAAAAGGGCTTTGGATCCACGTATAATTGATAATTCTATGATGGTGAATAGCCCATCGGAAGAACGCTCAGAGCTTTTGTTTGCTGACATGCAAGGTTGAGATTTGTACTGGTCACAATTTTATTTAGTGTGCTTCAGAAAGCGGTATAGGAGAATAGTGGGAATTTGGCTAATATTGGGGTTTCAGAAAACTTCCTTTTTGCTAGTAATCTCATACTGCATTTCAGAGCTTAACACGTCAATGATTAGGCGTGTTTCGATTAGGCATGAGGAAAGTAGAAAAGAGGATAACAAAAATGAAGAAAACGGTTTAAACGAAAGAGATGAAGCTGATGCTGAGGAAGATGCTTTCGGGGAGAATGGGACTTCTCAAGATTCTGAAAAGGATGAGAATGAATCAGTCGACAAAGACCTTGAGGGACACAACCTTGAAGTTTCAAAGCCGCTGCGGGAGGATCCAGATCACCACCGGAAAAGAGGACCAGACAACCAAACATTGTTACGGCTACTTGAACAGGTATTTAATAGAGCTAATGAGAAGAATAGCAAATTTAATGTTTTACCACTTTTTGATTTAAATGTGGCTTGTAAAAAAGAAAATTTTTCATTTTCCTGGAAACAGCAATTTACATCCTGGTGTTTGAGTTACTTCTAAATCCTCAATCAAAGTAGGTTATTTCTTTTTCTGTTCCACTTTACTGGCAAAGTAAACACGTTTAAGGGCGAACAGCTTCATTCTATGTTCCGATGCGCTCGAATACAAGGACTGGACACTAGCGAGGGTTTGCTTCTTTTTGGAAGGGAACATTATTATGTAGTTGATGGATTTACGCTCTTGAAGACGAGAGAAATTCGAGATTTAGATTTCCTACCGCAAGAGTTAGTTTTTTTCTGGGGATTTTTTCTGCTTTTCTATATAGGTTAAGTTTTTTAAATTTAATAAAGGCTTTTAGTATTAAAAGATGGTCTGTACTCTATACATTAGGTTACACGATCCAATTGTACCTTACATGGCTTGCGGGACAAATCGGCCAGCTAGACGAACTCGTCTGTGTAGCAAGTTCTCTTATGACGATATTAGAGAGGTTCATAAAAGGCGATATCTTTTACAGCCAATTGCCGTAGAAGTGTTTTCAGCTGATGGAAGAAATTATTTGCTTGCATTCCCGAAAAGAATGCGTGATCGCGTGTACCAAAAGTAATGTATTTTTTGATAGATTGAGGGATGTTTTGGAATTTTTCTTTTCCAGTACTGAAGTATTTTTCTTATATAATTATTGTACTCATTTTCTATCTTTTATTATTAAGGTTTATATCGATGGCTAAAGCGTTAAAGGATGGAGGAAGTGAATCAGTTAGTGGACAGCGAGCGTCTGTACCTGTTGAACAGTCTGGACGAGTTTCTCTTTTAAATTCATTCATTGGTAGTTTGAAATATTCTTCTTCAAATTGTTTGTTATTCTCTCCCTTCTCTTCCAATACTTCTAATTGGTTGCATATGGTTAATTCATTTTTTAATTCATCTCTTTCGTAAGGTCAACAATCAGTTACACAAAGATGGCTTAGAGGGGAGCTCAGCAACTTCCAGTATTTGATGCACTTGAATACTCTTGCTGGCCGATCGTATAACGACCTATCGCAGTATCCTATATTTCCTTGGATAATCCGTGATTATACTTCCGAAGTAATTAATTTTTATAGTTTTTGTTGAAAGTACTACCTGCTCAGGATTCTGGAGTGAGCAGTTATTTGCAGGTGCTTGATCTTACTAACCCGCAAACCTTCCGAGATCTTAGCCGCCCTATGGGCGCTCAAAGTCCTGAAAGGTTGGCTCAGTTTATGAAACGTTATCGCGAATGGGACGATCCGACTGGAGAGACTCCGCCATATATGTATGGAACTCATTATAGCAGTGCAATGATTGTTGTTTCTTATTTAGTTCGGTTGGAACCCTTTACTCAACAGTTTCTGAAGTTACAGGTACCATTCCCTTACATTGTACATATATCGCCAAAAATAATATCGGATTGCTAGTTTATTCTACTTGTAGTTTTTTTAAATTATGTTATTGCTAAATTTTTAACACATTCTCCTTCTTTCTAAATATGTTTTCTGAAAACCAAGCACGTTTTTTGTAGTCGTGATTATTAGCAGTTGGATTTTTGTGCTAAAAACACCTTCAATTTTGGAACCTTCCTGATATAGGTTTTATCCCTTTTTGTGATTTTTTATTCATTATTACAAGGGAAGTATCACTAAAATTGAATAATTTGATTTCTCGTCTAGGGTGGGCATTTTGATCTGGCCGATAGAATGTTTCATAGCGTTGGTGACGCCTGGATCAGTGCGAGTAGGAATAACATGGCTGATGTCAAAGAGCTTATTCCTGAATTCTTTTCTTTACCGGAAATGTTTCTCAACTCAAACCATTTTGACTTAGGTGTCAAACAAAACAATGTCGTGCTAGACGACGTTGTGCTTCCCCCGTGGGCAAAAGGTGACGCCAGAGAGTTCATTAGATTGCACCGTGAGGTCAGTACATTTTCCGAACAATTTTAGTTTTCCGTTTTGTAGGTTATTCGTGGGCAGCATTTTTAGGCCTTGGAATGCGACTATGTGTCAGCAAATCTTCATAACTGGATCGATTTAATTTTCGGTTACAAACAAAGTGGAGATGCAGCAGTTGATGCATATAATGTCTACCATCATTTGTTTTATGAGGGCAATGTAGATTTTGAAAACATAGAGGACCCGCTAACCAGGCATGAATTTTCTCAGACGGTTCCAACTTTTATAAAGAACTGTCCTGCTACTCACTTCATTTAAGGAACGCTACTATTGGATTTATTAACAATTTTGGCCAAATACCAACTCAGCTGTTCAAAAAACCACATCCTCAAAAGAAAGTTGCTCAAATTGATCCTTATTTGGGCACTCCTGGTGTAACTTCACAGCGTTTATTCTTTCACACTATTGGATCTCTCAAAGTTCCTCAACAGCCAGTTAAAGGTACTGTTTTGTCTGTTTTTGTTTCACGTGTGAGAGCCAGTGTCGTTGACGAGAGCTGTACTAGAGGAAACCTCTGTAAATGAGTGTACGGTCAAACGCAGACGGCATGCTTAGAACGACACGAAAACTAGTAATTCAAAAATTCAGATCAGAAGACACTCAATTAAAATTGAACAACATTGGTATGTTGCTTGTTTTCAAATGAGCAATAATCGTCGACTAATCAGATACTTGGGAGGTTTGTAAATTTGCGGGAAGAGAAGTGCTTTTTTTGCTTTTACGAAACAAATGCTTTATCTGAAAACTGCAAACACTGAAAGCGTTAAATAAGAAAACAAATTTAAACGTTCTGTTGGAGGCTAGTTCAGTTTACGTTTGACCGTTTGTGATGACAAGGTTTTGCATGTCTATTCCTTGCAATTATTTGACAACTTATAGCTATTTAGAACTGAAGTCTGCTGTTGGAACATTGATTCCGTTGGAGAAAGGAGGTTTCTTGGCGTTGGAAATTAATAGGATTTACTTACCGAACAACCACTATATTGCATGGGATTTTCCTGACAAAAGTCTGAAGATTGGACTCTTGGACAGCGAGAAAGTTTGAATTTTTTTGCCATTTCGTTGATTGTAATTATTCAGTAAAAAAGTCCTCAAAGTTAGTTTATTTTGTTATTCGTTCGTGGGTTATTTTTTGTGAAGACAGAAAAATGAAAGGTAATTTAAATCATTTCCAGTCTGTATGCTTACACGAAATGGGTGATTATCCAGATGTCACTTGTTGCGCTTGTGCGGATTCTAAGACTCTTTTCACTGGATTTGTAACTGGCGCTGTTTCTGTCTGGAGTGTTTGTAACCGCCCTAGAAAACTAAGGTTCAGACGTACGTTAAGTGGCCACTCCTCAGCTATAACCGCCATTTGTGCTTGTGCAGCTCACACTATATTGGTTACCGCCAGTCGCGATGCCACTGCTATAGTCTGGCATCTTAGCGCTCTGACTTTTATACGCCAGTTGTGCCCTCATCCGGGTCCAGTTACTGCTCTTGCCGTCAACGACGCTACGGTATTTCTTTTTTCTTGTCTTGCTGACAAGCCTGAATTTTTCACTGAGAATTTTTTGTTTTTATATGAGAGGTTTCCTTTTTAGGGTGATATAGCTACTTCTTCCTCCTCTATGTTATTTGTTTGGTCTATAAATGGACAGTTACTGTCAGTTGTTAATGCGGTTGACTCTACTTTTGATCCAAAGTCCAATGTCGTACTCGCCATTGCTTTTTCTGTGGTGCGCATTCTATATTTCTTTATAATAAGTCGTTTTTTTGCTCTTTTCTAATTTTTACATTTTTTTGAAGGTAAATGAATGGGATGATAAAAATGTTGTGATATGTGGCGGTAGTAATGGTGTGGTCCGCTTTTATTCACTAGAACTTCTTCGTTCATCTGATGAAAAAAATAATTCTACGGATAAATCAGCATTGTACGTTACTCTTGCAAATAACTTGCAGTTGATGTAGTGGAGCCGTGATTAATTTTTCTTAAAGTTGAAAACACTTAGATTTTCTGGAAAATTTCTTTCAAAAATGATTGTATCGTGAAAAGAATTTATTTATAAAATTAGTATAACGCATCTAAAGCTTTTTCATTTTAACACTTTGTGGTTTTCAGACCGCCACGTCAGATGAGTACTGCTGCCGTTTTGCAACAGAGGTTAGAGAGGCAGAGGTTAAGGTTACGCATGAATTCAGCGACTAGTTCAATTGATACCAGTCAAGCGAGTTCTCCAGAAGTACCTGGCAGTCCCGTTACTCATGAAAATGATGACATTTTTACTGGATTGCGAGACAAAGTAGTAGTTTTTTTACTGTTGACAGCTTGATTATGTGTAATAGTCTTTTCCTCTCACGAGCTTCGCCTATGTCAGTAAAATAAGAATTTTCTCAGGGTTATACCTTGTTCTTGTAGCCTTGTTCCCCTGATCCTACAAAAAAAGACACTCCCGTGAAGTGGCAACGTTTCTTAGTAGCAAGGGCTTCACTTTCCACTCATACGGCTTTCAACAGGAAAGATAATCTGCGACCTGCGCCAATAACTGCCATTGCTCCTGCCAAGTGACATTTAGAATATTTTAATTTTCTTAAGATCTTGTTTGTCATATGATATTAATTGCTTTATAGGGATCACAAATCGCTGTATATTGGTGATGGGGTTGGTCGTGTTTGGCACTGGCAAATGGGTGACGAATCAGGAGCACGTGCAGATCATTGGGTTCAAGATCCAAGTCGCAATTCTTGCTCTTCTTGCCAGCAGACTTTTTCACTGGCAGACAGACGCCATCATTGTCGGAATTGTGGTAATATTTTTTGCAACAGGTAACTTCTTTTTGCTTTTTTGAACGTCTTGAGTAAATGAAAATCATATTTTTACCGTTTATAGTTTATTAAATCCTTATACTTTAGTTGTTTACTGTTAGCTTTGAGTGCAATAATGTTTGTTTTTCAGATGTAGTCGTTTTGAATCAGATATCAAGCACATGAAAATCACAAAACCAGTTCGAGTTTGTCAGAACTGTTACTTGAGATTGAAATCTCAAAATACTGTGTAGTTATGGTTGTTTTTGTATTACTCACTTCTCAGAAATGAGTTTGATCTTGAAATTTTTTCATTGGTGGATTTTTTGAAATCTTTCTTACTATTATGAAGTGATAATTTTGGTTTGTTTATATTTTTAAAGTTTATGATCCAGTATTACTTTTCTTTAGTTTTGATTATCCGTGGTCTTAAGTATTAATTGTCGAGTATTCTTTCGTTGTTTTCAGTCTTTGATGTCCTCAGTTACTTTGAAGATTTTTACACTAAATATTAAAATGCGGTGGTGTATTGGTAACGGGAACGAAAATAATCATATCCTTCATAATCATAGATCTTTTTAGTAATTTGCTATTTACACTTCTATCCGTTTCCTAGTAATTTATGTGATGCTAATTTCTTTACCAAGTACTAATTTTACTAATTTCTTTACTAATTTCTTCTTCCGACTAATTTTTTGGTGCAGGATTTATTAATAAGTACTCTTTGTTTCCTGCTACCTTCGCGTTTGTCCTCTCAGTTTTGATATCTGTGATCTCATTTTTTATTTTTACTTTTTTTTTTTTTTTTTTTTTTTTTTTT